GGTATAAAATCAATACAGAACAGCATTAGTAAGATGGCTGGGTATAAAATCAATACAGGGCAATCAATCTCACCCGAATATAACAGAGACGAACAGTGGCTTTCTAAAGGTAGCAGTTACGGGAACATTTGTAATGTAACTGTCTGGGAATAAGTTTAACCAGAGGTATGTAAGGAAATCAGAACCTTATGCAAATCACTAAAGAAAATTTAAACAGAAGGTAGAATAAGACTGTGATGTAGACATCATTATAAAATAAGCACACCTATCTCACAGATCCAACATAACCTCAATTAAAATCCCAAAAGCCTTTTTTTTTTTTAAAAAGAATGAACTACTGCTGTGTGTTACTGGGGGGCGGGGACGACTAACAAATGTCACAGCACTCATGGAGGGCGGAGGACAACTCCGTTCCAGAGACTGAACCAGACTACCAGGTTTGTGTGGCAAGCACTCATCTTACCGGTCCCCCAAAAGCTCTGGGGTTTCCATGCATACAAACCTCAGTCTGCACAGACAGGGGATGGGCACTTTGCTTTCTCAGACATGAAGAGTTACTATAAAGCTGTAACAGCTGAGACAACAATGTGTGTGACAATTAAGACAAAATGACCAGGGGATGGGACAGACAGCCCAGAAAGCACCTCGGACAGAAGAGGGATGGGGTGACACAGGCTGCCGCACTGAGCACTGGAGGAAGAGGGTCATCAACTCACCACGAGCAACGCTCTATCCACGGGAGGAAGCAGCTCTCTACCCACTCTCCCAAGAACCCAGGTACACGTGGATTAATGAGCTGAACGCCAGGGCGGAGGAGCACACAGCTCAGGGGCAAAGCACCTACCAGCCAATCCTACAGGAGGCCGGAGGCTCAATCCCCAGCACCATTACAGAAACAAACAAACCAAGCAAAGATGTAAACAGGAAAAGCAAGCCTACGTGGGAGAGGTATTCATGATCTTGAGATAGGAACTGCTGAGCATGGGACAGAAGCACCAGACCCAAGGCTGACCACCATGAGAACCTAAAACACATGGTTCTAGAATACAAGAAGAACTTGGCCGTCAGTTAGGAAGGCCGGCAGTGAAAAGGAAGAAAAAAGAACAGACATTCACAAACAGGGGCCACAAATGACCGAAAGGTGCAGGTCACCAGTCACTAACGATGCATAAATGAAAACCACCACGTGATATCCAGCTCCACAGTGCAGTGAGGGCAGAGGGAACCTCAGCACTGCCCGCCAGCATCCTCGCCACTGTGAGCACATGACACTGCCGGGTACAGCAGCTCTACTCCATTCGTGCGCACATCTATCAAAGACACACAAAGGCATGGGCAGGACATCCGGGGCACCCACAGCATCGCTATCTAACAATCGCTACTGATCAATGCCATCGTTAAAACACCTTAAAAAGTAGATCAGAAATGCTTTCCCTTACATTTTAGTCGATTTGATATTTATTTATTTATTTATTTATTTATTTATTTATTTATTCATTCATTCATTCATTCATTTATTCATTTATTACCTGTAATGCAGCCTGTGTCAGCATTTAGGGGCAGAGAAAGGATTCACAATGAGTAAAAACAGCATTATTTTCTTAAAGGAAAACAGTTGTGTATTGTTGAAAGTCAAACAGTCTCAGATTTGATAAGTTACCAATTTGAGGCCTTCAGTATAATACTGAACTATGTATATGATAAAGATATTAAGATATATATATCCAATTTAATCAATAATCATATATTTCTAAACATAATTTGTCATTTTACAAAAAAAGATTGATTCCCCTTTTAGCAATCATTTGACAGTAGCACCATTAAAACAAGCTCCTCATCAGAATGCCACGTTGTCTACCACAGACACAAAGACGAGCAGGCACAGTAGTGCACACCCGTGATCCCAGTACTCAGGAGGCTGAGGTGGACGGATCATGAGCTCAAGGCCAGCCTGAACTACACAGCAAGACTCTGGGAAGAGAGAGCGGCAGAAGAGAGCGACATTAACTGTCAGTTCAGCTGAAGCTGGGATGGCGGCGCACACCTGGAACCGCAGCCACAGGAGGCAGAGAGGGAAGGCCTGAGGCTAGGCTGGACAGTACACAGAGATCACGTCTTTAAACAAAAGGAAATACGGAGTTAGCCTTATCCTCTGATAACTGAAAGTAGCTGATTTAAAGATGGCCTACGAGAAAAGTCTTTGCTTTTCTAATTGTTATTTTCCTTTGAGCATGAATAATCCATTAATAATTTTTCTTATACTTGCTACTGACTTTGCTTCATTTTTTTTCCATTCACATCTTCTATGTTTGATCTAATCTAAGTAATCTAGAATCAAGGATGACCCAATTGCTTATTATCAAGAGAACAGGTTTCTTAGAGCATGCAGACGGAACTTTGTCACAACTTTATGTAACTATTCAATCCCTGATTTGCCTTTTATGCTTGGGTCACTAAACAAATCCATCAGACTGTCACAGATAAAGTCCTATTAGGTATGCTTCAGATACAACACAATCAACTTTTGTATGAAGAAATAAATACAAATTTACTATTGAATTCTCATTTTTAAAAACATCGGTCAAAAGTAGTTTAGCTAGGCCTAGGTAACTGAACAAGCAGTGAGGGTCCAAAGGGATGTGCTGAGCTGCCCTGGAGTAGGTGCAGCTGGGAAATTAGAACCAAGAGAGACAAAGAGTCAGAGACAGAGAGAGACAGACATGGAGGGGGGAGAGGGAGAGAGCACACACATTCTCTCTCCCTCTCCCTCCCCCGCACATGCACATATGTGTACAGATGAGCACACACACATGCCCCCTTCCCTCCTCGCCCCCCCCCTCTCTCTAGCACACACTTTGGCAGGTGGTTGTCTGTATCTTAAATGAAACCACGAATAATATTCAAAATCGCAACAAAGGGTAACTTTAGTCAAGCTCTTGACAGATTAGAAGTACTTATAAAATGGTTCAAGAACACAGTCTGCAACGTTTTGATCTGGAAAGATCATGAGATGCACACATTAACATCTACAACACTTGACTTTGCACAGGAAGGAGGATTTACTGTGACGAGCAACTGGAGGGGTCTGTGTAACCATGGTGGCTGCGAACACTACCATTCCCGGGAATGGAAGTCAGTCTGGTCTGCCTGTACCTTCTGCTGGATAGTAGAGTGTTTCTGCTCCATCTCTCTTTTCTCCTTTGCTGCATCCACAACCAGTCGATCCAACTAAAGGAAGGAAGGAAGAAAATGACAGACTTAACATTCAGAGAAACAAAGGCCTTTCTTAAAACCATATTCCGAGTCATTTTGCAGATAAATATAAATCACCCGATTAAAGTTAACCCAAAAAGGCATTTTTGACTACACATTCAAGTAGAAGTTCCCATTTCCCTCGTATTAAATCCTCTTTGGGAAAGCTCCTATCCTAATTAGGGAGGCTTCCGAGCTGGAGCCTTGTCTTGAGCACTGCAGTGGTGTGCCCATCCTTAAGGACGATGACTCTGACCTAAAGTGTCTGCTGACCCACTTAGAAGATGTTGGAGCTGCAGACAAGATAAAAACAAAACAAAGCACCGCACAAAAACACAATTTGTTTTTATTCCAACACTAGCAAAAGGTGATGCAGCTGAACTAGGTAGGGCAAAGGTCACAAGCTCACATCAACAGATACGTCCCATCTCTCGCCACACACCATGTTTTCGACTTGTCTTCCTTATGTTATAAACTCATCTGTAACTGGCCAAATAAATCAAAGACAGCTAGGGGGTCGGGGGAGTGGGAGGAGATGCAGTGGTAAGCTTGCTTGAGCCCAGGAGTTAAGACCAGACTGGTACACACTGTAAAGGCCTGACTCTGAAAGGTTAAATTAAAATAATAAAGGAATATTAATCCTATACTTCCAACTGTTATCTCCTACTTACTCAGCTACTACAAGATTATCATCATTGGCCACATCTAAACAGACCACTACGGAAAATGTGGCTTAATACAAGTTTTTCAAGGCCTGCAAAAATCCCTTGGTTTAGAAGGGGAAGGACCCAAAACTGAAAGTAATAAGTACCTAAAAACAAATAATCATTTCTACTAGCTAACTACAACTCAATTCACATGATACTTATAAACGAGGTCTAATGCAAGGCAATGGGATGTGAAGAATGCCAGAACACAGGAAAGTATGACCCTCCCACCAGGCCTGGACCAATGACTTCGCTACATGCTTGTACATCATGTTGACCCTCTCCTGTACTATAAAAGCTCAAATGTTCCCCGGATCTATTTCCTCCTCTCCCCTAACAATGGGAACCACCCCACACCTAATTCTGCCAGGTCATTTTTCTGGCAACAAAGCTGTGTTTCCCAGGTTTCCTTGCGGTGAGTGACTGAGCACAGGTCACTAGATGTACGCAGAATGGACATACACAATTTCTAGGAAACGTCCTTAGGCAGACAACGTGTTTTTCTTTTCCCTTTCCTCCCTTCCGTTTGCTGGAGTTAGAGAATGGTGGCGAAGGCCGATAAGTCACTCTTAGCCATGAGGCTAACTCCGTACACAAATGGCCATGAACCTGTGCATCTGACTTTACACAGAAGAAATAAGGTTCTTTTACAGAAGGCCTAGGACCCTCAGGCTGGATTGCGAACAAACCCAGCCTCAAATGACATATACACAGTGCATTTGTCAGGAAGATGAACAGCAGTCCAGTGCAAGAGACAAAAAAACAGAATGCACGTAATTCATGGCATATGCTCTGGACACAATACCATCCTCTCTCCCTCCTCCGCTCCCACACACACTTTGATCACTGAATGGTATTCCCCTTCCACTCTTACCTTTCTCCCATTTCCCTAAATTCAATTTTTCTTAATCCCTCACCTCAGAAAGTACCCTGGGAAAGAAAAACCTACAGAGTAATACTATTAAATCAAGAGGAAGAAGGCTCATCACTCAATAAAAAACACCATCTGAGCCGGGTGGTGGTGGCGCACGCCTTTAATCCCAGCACTCGGGAGGCAGAGCCAGGCGGATCTCTGTGAGTTCGAGGCCAGCCTGGGCTACCAAGTGAGCTCCAGGAAAGGCGCAAAGCTACACAGAGAAACCCTGTCTCAAAAAACCAAAAAAAAAAAAAAAAAAAAAAAAAAAAAAACACCCTCTGAAGTGACTTGGGCCCAGTCAGTGGTAAGGCACACACCGAGCATGTACAAGGCCCTAGGTTTGAGCCACAGTGCCACCAAGGGGGGAAAAAAGGTTCCAAACATATTTAACACAGCTCTGTGAAATAATAATAAATGGTCGTGGGATTCTAAGACTTTCATTACCCAAGTAGCCAATATAATTTTTTGAAAATAAAAAAGAGCAATGTGTTAATTAAAAGCAAATTAGGTCAGTGACTCAATTATTCAAATTTAAAAAGTAAAGGATTAAATTCTGCTATTTGCACTACAAAACAGCAAGGCTGTATCTCGGCCTGCCTCAGCCTCCCAAGTGCTGGGGTCACAGCCGTGCGCCACACCCGAGAGCAGTGTTATTTTAAGTCTCAGAGGCAGCACCCTCAGGTTCAAAATTAACACAGGCAATGCCCCTTCAAGACCACTTCTTGCTCAGTATTTAACCCACATGTAAATGTGCTATAGTGTCAAACTCCTTAAGTAAATGAGAACCCAGTTTCCCAATATGCTAAATATCTTTAGAAACACAAATGTCGACACACGGTACAGAACGGAGAAATCCAGTTCGAGAGCTTACCTGTGCTCCAAGGTCTTTCATGTAGGGCCCAAGCTCACTGAACAGGTCATACCCTTGATGGAAGAAGGCCAGATGTGCATACATGAAGGACAGCATCTGGAGGGGAGAGAAGGGATTCAGAGGCACTGCTAGAAGCTTCTGAAAGCTTGACGATCACTCCACGAGAACCCAAAGCACCACATCTACTTAAAACGGAGTAGTTTTTTTCCTTGAGAACTTCATGAATACTTGCAAATACAAAGAGAATAACATTTTTCTAAGAGAAACACCCAGTGTTTGACGTTTTAACAGCTGTAGTTACAGCCGCTACACTGTAACTCACATGGGTGAGCTAAATAATATTCTCAATAGTTTCACTGTCTTACTAGAAATCCTTAAGTACATTCTGAGATGTCTATGTGGTCCTTCAAGTAAACTCCCTAAGCAAAAAAGACATGAAAAGACAAGAAATATAAACAGTAGCAAACACTCTAACCCACCAGGGTCACCAGGGTCACCAGGGTCACCAGGTCCCAGTAAGATGCAAAGACTCTCACTTGTCCAAAAAATACATATAAGTGGGGCTGACACTGACTCCTCTGTCTTTAGAAAGCTATTTATTTATTACTTATTTATTTAACTTTGAGTGGTGCGTGCGTGCGTGCGTGCGTGCGTGCGTGTGTGCGTGCGTGCGTGCGTGTGTGTGTGCGTTTTCACATATGCCTGGGGAGTGTGGAGGTCAAAGGAAACAATTCTCAGTCTGGCACTGAACTCGGATCATCAGACTCAGCAGCAAATGTCTACATCTGCTGAACCACCTCAGTGGGAATTTCTTTATATCATCCCACAGATCCAAAACTGACATTAAATATGGGGTGGGGGGTCCCCAGGTTTTTCTGTATTTTATTAATCCACAAAAGAAAAAATACCCCTATTTTTATTAGTTAAGTTTTTACATGGGAAGGAATTATATATAATTAAATGTACACAAAGGATCTCCTGAGACCTGCTTTATTTTTTAGCAAGAACACATATCTGTTTAATATTCTGAAAACTAAAGTAGGTCGTAAGAGTGTTGTTACTCAAGAATCCTCTACAGAAAATTTTGTTTTCAAAATAAAAACTAGTTAAATAAAATTCAAAGATTAACGATAAAAACTCACATATAAGAATTACTAGAGTGTTAGATAATGGTAATGATTATACAACTGTGTGAAAATATTTTTCAAACCACTGAATTATAAAGAGGGATTAATAAGATTATACAAAAATGTAAAATACACCAGGCCACACTACAGCTTCCTCGACAAGACTCTTCAACTGCTTGTTTTGTTTGTTTGTTTGTTTTGATTTTTTGATTTTTCCTTTAAATTTTGGGTTTTTTTGGGGGGAGAGGTTGTGGAGGCAGAGGGCGAATGTGGGAGACTGGGAGATGGGTGGGACTGTGCATGATGTAAGATCCACAAAGAATCAATAAAAGTTAAAAGAATTTTTAAAAATGTAATATACGTATACATCCAAATAAATACTAAGCATATTAAAAAAATAAATAAATGAGGCCAGTGGTGGTGATGCACACCTTTAATCCCAGAACTCAGGAGGCAGAGCCAGGTGGATCTCTGTGAGTTTGAGGCCAGCCTGGGCTACAAAGCGAGATCCAGGACAGACATCAAAGCTACACAGAGAAATCCTGTCTCCAAAAACTAAATAAACAAACAAACAAAACAGGAAAACACAGTGATGAGTGATGTGAATCCATAAAAGATGGCACAAATAAGTACAAAAAATGAAGTATTCGAGAGAATAGGAGAAAAGGACACACATATGTCTCGTAAGTAGCCAGGAAAATACATGGGAAAAGGTGACCAAACTCTGGAAACGCAAAATTCAGCCTGGAACTCTGGTGCTCTGTCTCCCACACCACTGGAAAGGAAGGAGGCAGGACTACAATGCCCACGGCTGGTAAACATCGGTAGAGAAATGACTGCTTTCACCACATCAGCGAAAACAGCTCAGAAGCCTTGACATTTGTAGAGTTTTTTAAAGCCTTTCCCAGATTTGAGAACTTGAACTGGGGATGGCAAGGCGGCTCAGGGAAGATGGCCACTGACCCGACACCCCATGGTAGAAAAGGAGAATCTGTTTCCAAAGGTGTCCCTTGACCCTCCGCACATCCACCATGGACACACACACACTTAAATAAGTAAACACATAAATGCATCTCTTTATTTAAGTAATCCTTTGTTTATAAATGTAAATAAAGCAGTAATCAGATTATTTATTAGGATGATCACTACAATTAAATGTTTGTAATGTCAAAAGCATGAAAAATTATTTAAATATCCATTAAGGATGACAATCCATAGTATATTCAAGGCTGGCTAGTTTGGACCTGCAAATTATACCTCTGTTTTTAGATGGCTCATGAGCCAAGAATCATTTTTAACCTTTTAAATGGCTGAAAGAGAAAAATTTTAAAACACAAGAAAGTGATGTGAAAATTATATGAAATTCAAACTTCTGTGTTCATCCATAAAGTTTTACTGAACACAGCCCCCCGCCCCTATCATTTACTCATTGACTGGTCCTCATTACAAGGACACAGGTAAGTACAACAGAGACCACAGGGCTGCCAAGCCCACCGTATTTATCAACCAGCCCTTTATTTCCAGCCTTCCCACGGAAGCCATGAGAGGACAGGACTGTGTCCCCATGACTGGCCATCTGGAAACCCTGGGGTGGGGAGGGGAGCCACCTTGTATGGAACCAAGTACAACAGTTACCTGCTAAGCTACCACTCAAGTCAAACAAAGCTTTAGGGAAGAGCAAGGTGGAGACAAGGGTCTAACAACACCAACTGGGAACCAAACTTCTGCAAATAAACTGAGAAATGACTCTGAAGGTTCTCACACACAATGCACAGCATGCCTCCTCAGTCCCTTGTCAAACAGCAAGTAAAACCTCACAGCCATCAGCATCCAAAAGCTCCAAAGACAGAAGCAGTGTGACTATACATGAAGAACAGACAGCAAAGAGCCCCGCCGTCAGTCTGGGAACTCTCCAAACCACAGGACTGTACAAGTCCTCACGCTCAAACATTTGAAATACCTAAACACCACACACAACCATAGAGAAGTGTGTGATTTTGAAAGATATTGTGTAGACAGTGTCTAAAAGCAAGGGCTGGAGAGATGGCTCAGAGGTTAAGAGCACTGGCTGTTCTTCCAGAGGTCCTGAGTTCAATTCCCAGCACCCACATGGCAGCTCACAACTGTCTGTAACTCCAGTTCCAAGGGATCTGATCTCTTCTGATCTGATCTCTGATGGCACCAGCATGAATGTAGGACAAATACATGTGTACAAAACACACACACACACACACATAAAATAAAGAGATTTAAAAAATACTGTTAAAAAGAAACTTTCTAAAGCAAATACAGCATACAGCAAATTCAGCCTGGCAGTGTGGCACATGCCTTTGATTCCAGCACTGGGGAGGCAGAGACAGGCAGATCTCTGTGAGTTTGAGGCCAACCTGGTCTACAGAGCAAGTTTCAAGACCATCAGGACAACACAAAGAAACCCTGTCTTGAAAAAACAAAAAGAAAACAAAGGAACAAAAAAATAAAAAATAAAAGCAAATACAAGTAAAAGAAAATTCAAGGTGACAATCATATCTGATAAGTTTCAAAACAATCCTGAAATATTCTCACGGGTTCCAGCCACCACTTCCATCTACTTCCCAGAAGTTATTAGGTATCTAGACTACATAAAAGATGACATGAGAATAACAGAGTAGAGAGCCAATGGTGAGTCTGTCTCTGTGGAGCAGGCCGTATGTCAGTAACACAGACTCATGAACAGTTGTACCTTGAAGCAGACGACACAGGAACTAGAAACGGGAGGGGGGGGGAGCAAAGGGAGCCAAGAGCCTAGACAGAGCATCACAGCAGGGGGGGGGTCCCAAACACAGACAGTCTCAGTGTTTCACAATAACAGTGGGTCATTAAGATCTTACTGATTTCAGGATTTCTGATCTCCTCTTTGATTGAAGCACATTAATCTGAGGGAAGATAAACTTGATTAATCACCCATGAATTACTTTAAACACTAACCCAGAATACAAGACTCCAAACATGCTTGTCCGATCGATCCCAGAACAAAAGGAAAGCAAAGCTTGTGTTTTCCATCGTTAACATCTTTTGACAAGCATACCAACGAATACTCAGCCACATTTGAGCTCAGTGGAAACACCGGTTCTTCAAATTACAGTATCATTGTTATGGAACCTTTTAATATTTGAGCATATGACATGTCCATCTTCCTCCACCCTCCTCATCTACTTGAAGATCAAGGTTCACCCACAGCCTCGGTGCCAATTATCACCATTGACCACTCTCTATCTTTTCTGGACTTCCCCTTTTTCCCTTCTTGACCCCATGTAATCTCTTCCCCACACAGGTGCCACAGTGATGTCCTAATCTAAATATTACATCCTGCGACCTCCTACCGTGTCGACAAAGGCCACTGTGCTGAGACCCTGCCAGGCCCATCGCTGTCCCCCAGATGCCTTGGTCCCGGCTGTTCTGCCTCCACGGCAGGATGCTCTGCCCTCGTGACTTATGACTATTTCTTACTAACCGGGGCTTCAACTACACAGTCTTCTTACACAGGTCTAACTCAGTACTGGACTCGCTATCCAGTACATCAGTCCTACTTACAGATAACAAAATTTAACTACTTTTGTTTTGTTTTTGTATTTTTTAGACAGAGTTTCACCATGTAGCTCTGGCTGTCCTGGAACTCACGGTGTAGACTAGGCTAGCCTCGAACTCACAGAGATCCTCCTGCCTCTGCCCTCCCCAGTGCTTACTCTGTGTTTTCTTACTATGTCTTTTCCCCAGCTAAGGGATAAGCTCCATGAGATTAGGACCTTCCTCTCAGTTCTAATCCTCAAAGAGAATACAGTAAGCACTCCATAAATATATGGAAAGTAATGGATTTAAGTACTTTAATTATTATCAACTTATTGAAATGCCAGCAAATTACGAGATTTTTCCAGGGTAGAGTTGAAGTTCACTGGGCAGAGTACTTGCCTCCAAGAGCAAAGCCCTGGATCAAATCCCCAGGATTTCCCAAGCCAGGGATCAGGGGGCATGTCTATAACCCCCCCAGGAATAGAGGCAGGAGGATTGTGAGTTCAAAGTTATCCTTGGCTAAATAGTGGGGGTCGGAGGGAGGCTTTAACAGGATCTTTTGCAATTCTAGAAATTCCTAACAAATAGTTTTGCCGTTGTTTAAAAAACCAGCTTATTTAACTAAAACATTGATCCAAAGAGGCCCTTCACTCTTTGTTAACGTCGCCAGAAGAGAACAGAACATCTTCCAAATGTTTTCTTCACTGAACTCTTGGTCTATGTAACAAGGGAATTGTAAAACACAGTCTGAAAAACAAAAACAGACCAAAAATGACCCTCAATCTAACTTTCTTCCCTCTCACTGGTTTCTTCTGCGTGTCTGTTTCACAGTCTGCTCAGCTCTGAGAAGACTGACCCCCAGATGCTGAGCGCAGGCTGAGGGGAGTCCCTGTTCAGACTCGGCCTTCTGCTTTGCTACTGTTTTTCCCTCTCTATTTGGGAAAAAAAAAAAAAAAATCAAGCTCAAGGAAAAAGGTAAATTCAAATACTTACAGGAGCTAAAGTACTTTACACTTTGGGTATTTGTTACCTATTATTCTCTAAAACAGCTACTTTGGCCACAAAATAAAATGATCCAAGAATTCTCATGAGAAAAAATTAAATATACTCATAGTTAGAAGGGAGTGAGCAGGGAGACTAATTTAGTACTGTCAGACAAACTCAAAGGAAATACACAATTATTATGTTTAAGTTTGAAAATAACAGAGCTGGGTGGTGGTGGTGCACGCCTTTAATCCCAGCACTCAGGAGGCAGAGGCAGGCGGATCTCTGTGAGTTCCGGGCCAGCCTGGTCTACAGAGTGAGATCCAAGATAGCCAGGGCTGCTACAGAGAAACCTTCTATTACACAGAGAAACCTTGTCTCAGAGGAAAGGGTGGAAAATGCCAGGCACAGTAATGAATATTTGTAATCCCAAAGATGGACAGATAAAAAGGATCGAGGGTGCTCATTGGACAGCCAGGCTAGCCTAATTGGTGAGCTCCAGGCCAATGAGAGACCCGTCTAAAAGGAGGTGGGCAGTATTCCGGAGGATGACATCTGCAGTGGTCATGTGGCCTCTAAAAGTGCACACACGTGTGTGCAAAGATGCACACTCACAAAATGTATACATACAAAAAGATGAATAAATACACATTTCCAGTCTCTCGTGGTGGTGCCGGGTGGAACCCCTGTTACAGCCTTTCTCCCCAAGGGTCCTGGGGTTTCATCTTCCAAAGCAGCCAGTGAACTCCAGAAACCTTCGGCAGTTCGTGAAGCTGGAGCCACTAAGAACATACGGTTCACACGTGGGCTGCTGAGGCAAGGGGAAGCAGGCGCTTCACCCAGAAAAGCCTTTCTCACAGTGGGTTTCCTGAGAAGTTACTGTTTGGGGGTTATGTTTAGAAGCACTAACAAAAGTTTTGAAAAAGTGAAAAAACAGATACACATTTCCAGTGTTGCCCGTAAAAACTTAACAATGTATGCCTGGTAGTCAAATATCAATTATACTGAAATAGAAATGCTACAGAATAAAATATGTATAGGATATTGCAACTAAGGAAAAAAAGAGAAAGAAACCAGAACCAAAAGATCTATATCTACATACCTGTGTGTGCACATATGAAGACAGGTGAAAGTTTTCCATAAAATGTCATGTTTCCCACTATAGCCCAGCACTCTAAAAACTGAGGCAGGAAGACATCAAGTAGAGGCCAGCCCAGGCTACACAGTGAGTTTGAGGCTAAGCGACCTCAAAAAAACAGTAAATTACAAACATTTTAAATGTTTTAATTGTAAGTTCAAAGGAAAAGCGTTCTTTATTCTTCCAAGCACAATCATTCAAAGGCCCTGCTCCTCGGGAACCGCTCAGGAAGACACGAGTCGAGGCCGTACCTGAAGGACGTAGTCCAGGGCTATGTGCCGGAAGCACTTCCTCGTGGCCGTGAGGATGTTTGTGGCCTCTTCCACTTCATGCTGCTTGTTCCTTTGAACTTGGGCGTTTTTCACTAGTGCGTTTTCCTTTTCTTCGCTGACTTTTTCAAATTGTTTCTTGGCATCTTTGAATTTTCTAAGATCTCTAAAAAAAAAAAAAAACAAAACTTTCTTCAAAACTCTGGCAAAATAAACCTTCGACTGTAACACTGCGGTTCCTTGGCTTATGTTTCCTCAGACGCTGGCAGTCATGAGCTCATCCAACTGAAGCACGCAGCCTTCCCCAGCTCCAGGTTGTCATTGACCTGAGATGCCTGGACAAAGGACGTTCAGATCTGGGGCTTCCATGACTCCGGGATATTTATACAGACTTCCAGTCTGCACCTTAATCAAACACTCACAGCTGAGAGCTCCAAAAGTTTCAGATTTGGACCATTGTAGATTTCTAATTCTTGGCTTACAGGTACTCATCATTCTGTGTACAGAGATTCTCATAAAGTAAGCTAGTATTTCATTATTTTCATCTATAGGATTCCAAACGGAAATAATGATAAGAATTAATGCAACAGAACAGAAAGTCAATTTTTCTAAAGATAAATTCAAAGCATGCACATGGTTTAACCATGATACTGTTTTCTAAACAACAGTGTAAGACTTACTATGGAGAATGTGCGCAGGAATGCAGATTTGAATGGACTTTCCCAAAGATTAAAATTCATTTACCTTCCAGATAAATCCTAAGAATCTGAGAAGTATTTTAAGACGTACTTTTGCTTTTAAGAAACAACATTCATAAGCCCACCTCGGGGCAACGTACCCGCTATCACAGCTCTCGGAAGGCTATAGAAGGAGGGCTGTAGGCCCCAGGCCAGCCTGGGCTACAGAGCAAGATTCTGCCCCAAAATGGCCCCCCAAAAAAATGGAAGCAGAAGAAACAATTAACACATTTAGTAAAACACATAAAGCATAAAAATAAACTCTTTAAACACACATGTAGACCAATTTGTAAAGAGCCAGCCGGGTTCAATTCCCAGTAAAGGCTCTCGACATGCCATGTAACGGTCTGAAAAGGTGCAGTGGCCTCAGGTAGATACACAATACCCCTCTGCTCCACTACTACTACAGTGTGACAAAGTAAGCTGAAGACAAATGACTTTTAATTATAATAAAATATGTCTAAGAAAGACTATATAATGGATTGAAAACACCCCACAGGTTTTTATGTATCTAAGAAGACTTTCTGAATGTTAAAGCATTCTGAAAAAATTAGAAAAACAGAACTGTGGGGGCTGGAGAGGCAGCTTAGCGGTTAAGAGCACTGGTTGCTCTTCCAGAGGACCCAGGTTCAATTCCCAGCACCCACATGGCAGCTCACACCTGTCTGTAACTCCAGTTCCATGGGATCTGACACCCTCACACAGACATACACACAAAACACCAGTACACATTAAATAAAAAGAAAAAGCCCTGAGCTGTGAGGCATCTTTGTGGGATAATCCTAACCTAGGCTGGGGCTGGAGCTGAGGCGCAGAGCTGGCCTAATGCAAGGCAGGGACTCCACCCACAGCACTGTCTAAAAACCCAAGCCCGAAACTACTCAAAAGAGCAGTAGACAATATTTGACACTATTCGTATAGTATAATGTCCCTTACATATCTTTAAATATTGAACCAATTAACTGACATTTATAAACTCTCTGCTGGAAATCCTAGTCAAAAACTAATTACGAACGTGAAAAACACGTTTTCCTTCACTTGAAAAGTTTGGACTTTTTTAACTTCTACTTCAATTTTATTTCCTATGTAAACATGATGACTCTCTTCTAATATATAACAATGTACCACTTCTGTGGATCTTCCTCATCTATTATCTTCTCTTCAAAGAAAATACCACATTGAGATGAGACAACTACCCTCAAATACAGTAAGTATGTCAACCACCCTTGGAGCTTTTAAATTACATTTTTATCTATGTTTAGAAAACTTTCTGGACTCTAACCAGAAGAGCTATTTAAATATACATGGAAAGTGAATCTGATTCCCTCACAAACTCAAAAGAAATGAAGCACGTCTCCCAAAGCAAACAAGCCAGTCTCTTCAGAAATTTGCGACCTAAAATCTCCTTCTCTTTTAGCATCGTTAGCCATGCCCCAGACCACCACCCCCACCCACCCCCAGCAAGCATTGGCTGCCCTCTGAACCATAGCTGACTTACTCTTTAACGAAGTTCTGAAGCTGTGCCTTAATTGATCTCTGCGTTTGGTCGAACAGGATCTAGAAGATAAAATATAGCATTCAATATTAGAAAGGAACCAGAAACATAAACATCAAAGCTCCTTACCACTTCCAGTAACACCTTATTCCTTAGTGAAGACTATGAAAGAAAGTGATGGAAGAAATTGAAACTAATTTTAAGCCAGATTCTACCAGTCTCAAAACAACAACAACAACAACAACAAAACTTGCTTCTCTTCACTACAGAAAAGAAATTTAGTGGGAAAAACAAACCAAAATAAAACAGTTTCCTTAATTCTACTTCAAATTTGGAAGACAACCCAACAGTACGACAATTTCTCTTTCTCCACCCCAGCCGAAACCAGGCTGAGCTCTGGTGACACCCGAGCTCTTCACTGGGGAAGACTTGGGAACACAGACAATGGAAGTATGAATTCCAGTGAGCATTACACAGGCTTGTGGGTCGGTGACAGCTGTGACTAGAAGACAAAATCTCGGTCTCAGCGCAGTTATTCTGTCCAGTGTTATGATGCCCTGTACCTAACACTGGTAGGTCTCACTATAGAAATTCCAAGTACTGGGGACTAGTATTCAGCAGTTAAGAGCACTAGCTGTTCTTCCAGAGGAAGACCCGGGTTCAATCCTCAGCACCCACATGGCAGCTCACAACTGTCTGTAACTCCAGTTGCAGGGAATCTGACACCTTCACACCAATGCACATAAAATAAAGTTAGAAAAAGAAAAGAAAGCCAATAATGGGGGGAAAAGAAAAAGAAATTCCAAGTACTTTCATAATTTTCAGAATTACTTCAATCTCAGAGCTTGAAACGGAGTGAGATGAACAGGGGGGAAAATAATACACAAACAGCAACAAAAAAAATCTTGTGAATCATTCTAATCTAAAATTTTGCTATGTCTGCCCAATTTCCTTCCACAAATGTGGTTTTTTTTTTCACCTGTATCTTATAAAGCTCAATGTGAGCAAAAGAAAGAAAACAACAGAAATCAAAATGGAGCTAAAAAGAAAACTGACAAAGAACAATCAATGAATCCAACGCAAGGCTGTGACTATGAAACTAAGTGCACAGCAAAGGCCACGTCAAGAAAACAGAAAGGGAACCGGGGCCCCCACTGGGGGGGGGGGGGCGGGAATTTCCACAAGACTGCTCAAGAAAGCATCCCTAAAGAGAAAGCATGTGTAACCGCAGGTGGGATGTCAGAGTGACTGGATGCAGTCAATTACAAGATCCAAGTAGGAGCTGCTGCCCTGTAAACCCAGGCTCTGCTGGGAATGAGACAGCAGCCGATCGGGACTGCCCTCCTTCACAGGGAAGGGACCGTATGATGGACACTGCAAGGTGGCCGCTCCAGAGATGCGTTCAACAGCCCACTGTGGTCTCTTAGACAGAGGCCTCGTCCACTATGCTCTGGTAGGCTCACTACATCTCTGTTTCTCCTCTGCTCTGAAGGGTGAATACTTGTACGAACACATCTCACAGCCAAAGCAATGAGAAGGGAAATAAAAAGGCACAAGTTTTGGATTTTAGGAGACAGGGTATGGACTCAGCACAGGAAGACACTAAGAAGATAATGTGTGTGGTTGGGGACCATTTATAAACCTAGTAACACAATAGAAAAAGGGGCACTTTTTTTTTTTTTCTGAAACACAGAATCTACCAAAGCTCACTAAACAGTAATCAATAATTAGCAGACTTAGGGAAAAAAAATCTGTAATTAAAACCTCCATATCCTGCAAGGTCAAGCTGGGCCTGGATGGCGCCGAGCAGTCCCTCTCCTTCCCATCTACCCAAGGGAAAGACATAGGCTCACATCAACAGCTACGGTAAATTTCTACAGCAGCTGCACTCACAACTGCCGAAAACGGGAACACCTTAAATGCCCTTCACCATGAAATGGAAAGACGTCAAGACAGTCATACAGGGGCCATCTTGAAATGCATACAAACAGATGAATCTCAGTGCACCTGGCTAGGTAAGTAAGTCCTATCACAACCCCTCACAAGCTGCAACTTAGACGGCATTTAGGAAAACGCAAAGCTGTAGGAACAGAAAGCAGCAAGTCCTAGTAGAGAAGGGAAAAGAAATGGACGTTAACAGGAAGTGAGGAAGGGCAACGTAAGGGTGTGCTGGGGTGTATGTGTGACAGACTGCAGTGCCCAGACACAAACATACACACTGTCAAACCCTCTAAAGCCAGATGCCACAGGACATCAGTTTTCATACATGTAAATTTAAAAATGGCAAAGCACAGGAGATTTCTTTAAAGTACAAAAGAGGACTTTTCAGCAAAAAGAAATTAAGGAAAAGCAACTTGAAACCACCACATTTATACCTGATCTTAGGCAGACGGCCAAGAAGCAATACCCAGCAATCCAACAGAATAAACACACTGACAGAGGGGTGCGTGACACCATTGCGGCTCTCACGCTGCGGCGGGAGACAGGTGCAACCAACTCTGGAAAACTGCCTCCAAAGTTTGAAGGCTTTGCTTGCTTTTGTGAATGTAATATGTAAAAGAAATTTTAATATGTAAAATGAACGTTCATAAATGAAATTACTTTTCTGTGTTTTTTCTCTCTTAGCACCCAATTCCTTCGCATGTAGTAAAAAGTCACATAACGCCATCCTAGAAACATCATTGTCAGCTTTCAAAGCTGGGACAAATGGCCAAGGTGCCTATTTCACGTATCAAAGCAGAGCTGGCCTCCAGGTTCTCTCTGCATCCCTCAGTCTCTACCTGTGACAGGACCCTCCTGGCTGGCACACCCCGCCCCCTACCCTAAACTTCTCCAGCCCAGCCCTGGCTGCCCTTCCGCACATAATCCACCATCTGGTCAGCTGGTCCTTTTTATCTACTCCTCTTGTGCCCCCTGGCTGCTGCACCTGGGTTCCGTCTCTCCTCTCCCTTCCCCTTCCCCCTCTCCTCCCCTGGCTCAGAGTCACAACCCCTCTGGACCCTCTGACGCCCCTGCCTCTGGCTATGCTCTGACGGATCTATGCTGACCCTACTCCTCCACCATACCTAGGAGCAGCCATGTTCCTTTTCCTTTCCTCCATTCAGCCATCCCTAGACATTTACGTACACACAATGTATGTTTATCTACAGACATAGATATACACATATGTATGTGTTTAGGTAGGTAGATAGGTATGTAACAAGCAATTGTATACGTAATAGCCCAAACTAAAAAGTGATACAATGGCCCATTGTGATACACTTGAAATAAGATCACAATTTTTTTTAAGATTTTTTTTTTTTCTTTCGAGACAGGATCACTATGCAGCTCTGGCTGTCCTGGAACTCATTATATATTCCAGGTTGGCCTCCAACACTGGCTCCCAAGAGCTGGGATTAGAGGTGTGTGCTACCACATGGGGCACATTTTTTTTCTTTCCTGAGATAGATCTGATGGCCAGGCTGGCCTCCAACTGGATTGTAACACTACCCCTCTGGGCCACCCAGCTAGCTATGTTTAAAGGGCACACTAGTTCACCTGGAATATCCACAAATTCACTGGTGATCCTTGCTTCAAAAGCGGACCCTAGTTCTTCTCTCCTTTAGTGCAAGATGTCTGTCTCTTGCTTCTTCCAAACAGTAATGAAAGAAGCGCAATACGGGACTAGGTAATAAAAGGTACTCATGTTTCCTTTGCCCTTGTTCTTGAGTCCCATTTGGAGAATAACAGACTCCATGTCATAAGGACACTCCTGCAGCCCTGAAAAGAAGGTCCTTGGTGAAAAACTGGAGCCTCTGGTTAAAAAGTTTATGATTAAAACACCTTAGCATTGGACCCACCAGTCCATGTGAGAACTTCAAATGACTAAGGTCGCAGCCCCAATACTTGGCCAGCGTCTCCTGAAAGACACTGAGCCAGAGGCACCCAGGTGAACCTCTCCCAAACTCCTAACTCAGAAAACTATGAAGGAATAGAGGTTTGTTATCTAAAGCTCTAAGTTTGAGGTTAATTGCATGCAATACAGCAGTAGATAACATCGTCATGAAATGAGTCGGTATACAAATGGTGATTTACTCACATGACGCAATGTTACTGAGCAAAAACAAGAAACCAACTATTACACACACAGTATGACTGAGTCTCAAAATAACTAAGAAAGTTACTAGAACAGCAGAAAACAAATTAGTCAATTATGACAGACTACAGATCGGTGACTGACCAGGAATGAGGAGCCTGGACGAAGAGAGAAGGAATTACAGACAAGCAAAAGGAAACTCGGGGGCACAAAATGTGTCAAAGCTTACCAGAATTTATAATGATGCAATGTGTATACTATTCCACAGCAAAGCTGTAAAAGGCATTCCAAAGGGGAAAAACGTACTTCGAAATTATAACATATCATCCATATCCTCCAAAACACTGCATTCCCAAAATAAAAATTTATATGTGTTTGAATAGGAGGAAAAGTATTTTAAGAAACTCATTAATCTCACTTGTTTGCATCTTTCTGAAACAAGACCTCACTGTGTAATTTGGGGTGACTGGAAATCCATTCTGTCTGTTGCCCAGGCTGCCTTCAAGCACACAGTCTTCCTGACTCAGCCTCCCCTCACAGACATGCACCATCACGTGCTGGTATACAGGCATATGCCATCACACCTGGCTGGCCTACACATCTGTATTTCATCCTTTACAGTGAGGACCAGGCTGCTAATGCATGGGCAACCGAATCAAAGCTGTTTCCTATTTGCTGATGTCAAGACATACCTAACGACGAACTTTGCTGGCGCTGAGCTGTGTACAGAACCGCCTTGAAAGCCAGGCGGTGGTGGCGCACGCCTTTTATCCCAGCACTCAGGAGGCAGAGTCAGGTGGATCTCTGTGAGTTCGAGGCCAGCCTGGTCTACAAAGCGAGTTCCAGGACAGGCACCAAAACTACACAGAGAAATCCTGTCTTGAAAAACAAAAGAACCACCTCAATTAGTCAACTGGAGTCTCATCTCAATTCCTGGTCACTAATCTACACCTTGCTAAGGTAGACATTTCTTTGCAGATGCTAAAC